TTCCTTCAGAGACTACAGATCACAAGAACTAATTCGCAAAATATTAAGGATTTTGCATTTTCACCTTGGGTCAAATCTGAACTGTGTACTATGAATAACTATTAGCTCACTGCAAATTTAGGCTCCAGTTTAAAGCACATGTTAAGTTACATGCTTAAGTGCTTCACTGAAATATAACCATAAAACATTACTACAAAAAGTCAAGTAGATAATGCAAGATATTATCTACACAAGTCCTTGATGAAATAAACTGAGTATCAGTAGGAAGCAACGCATGAAGAAACTTCTTCATTCTAGTTTGCAAAACCAGATCTGGCTCACCACGGTGTTGGTAAAAAAGTGGGGACCATCCCAGAGTAGCTTTGCGTCCTACAGAAAGCTAACTGGCCATCTGAGAGTTCATCAAGGGCTGGTTTCTACACTGCACGTTAAAAAAAAGCGAGAGTGGACTCCCTCCGCAGCAGAAGCTACAGACACAACTGGCACGAAGCCACCAAAAGCAATACAACCAGAGCCAAGTGGAAGCACGCTGGAAGAGAGCTGCAAGGAAAAGTTTTAACTGCTACTGCCTATGGCTGTAGTTCAGCAAGTTGGACGTTACGACAGAGGAGAGATCGGTAGCCAATTTGATGCCCATTTTGGGGCTTCAATACTGTGCACGCCCAAAATGCAAAGGACTGTATTGCCACGCGTGCAGCAATACCTCAGAACGACACCGACTCGGACGTGGCGACTTGCATCAAAATACGGTTATTATTTGAGAGTCCTTTTGTGCTTTGTATCAGTCTGACCTAGTCTAACGTGAGGAACTTGGTCTGAAAGAAAAAGTCACTAGTCAGCATTTAGCACATCCTTTTAGACTGCCTCGTTCTGTAGAGGAACGGTGGAACAACAGAAAAGTGCTCTTCGCTGCAATCGATACTTGTAAGCCAAAAAGGACAAAGATACAGTTTTAGTAGTTTAGCAGAAGAATGGAAGCGTTTACCCAAATTTTAATGCACAAATCAACTACATTTTTTAAAATTTGATTTAGACTTAAATAATAAATAGGTGGGCAAAATATAATGCAAGATTTATTCAGTAAAAGTGAATTTTTAATAATCTCATGAGATCTACTTAGAAAACAGGACTAATAATGTTCACAACCGTAAATCCAAACCCTTCACACACTTTTTTTTTTTTTCCTTAACACAGCAGTGAACTGTAAACCTGCATTTACTGGTTAACGCTTCGGTTATTTTAAATATTAACTCAAGTGTTTCCTCCTTGGCCATTTCAATTTTTAGCACCAAAATTAGCCCAAAAAGAGGTACTGGTACAGCTCAATGTTGTAAATGAATTGTTTACATATAATACTTTATATATTATACACACATACTGTACATTCACACGTCCACACAAACAGGAGGCATATTTAAATGAATATACTCTGTGTTTCAATTTGTTGTCAAAGACTTAGGAGCAATGGAAATAAAGCAGAAGGGGTAATATTTTACATAGTAGGCAACTTTAATGCTGTAGTGCACTTATAAAAAAGTCCAACTCTCCCTCCCAGCTCAGCAGCTTTTTTTTTTAATATCACTATTCAGAAGGATGCAGAAGTTATTGCCTAAATGTTATTCTATACATTTCCATCGGAATTCTCAAAAACACTTGAAATTGCTAACTAATTTACAACTTAACTATTTTTCTTGTTACAGCTTTAACTCATTGGCAATTTTGGAAGCAATGTTTTTAAAAGCTATGGATGTTCCCGATATCCGCTTAAAGCGAACTCCATTCAGCGACAGTCTTGGCAGTTTACACACCTCCATCTCCCACTGTACAAGGTTTTCCGCATGCCCATCTCCATGGACACAGAAAAGCAAGAAACGCTCTCTTTGTTCATAGTCACAATTATTGGCATCCAGGACCTTTCGTATTTCCCTCATCATGTCATTGGGATCCATGGAGCTGGTGGTTTTCATGCTCCAGGTAAAACGCAGCGACCGAGGCTTGGCTTCCTTGTTCTCATCCTTCTGATCCACAGCTACATTGCGGCTGAAAGACAGGAATTTGTTAGTTAGCAGGGCCAGCTACCTTCTCCACGTTTCATGTTAGTGAAGCAAACTAACACTCAACGCACACTACCGGTATTAGAGCAGCATCTAGAGGCTCCGGCTGCGAGCAATGCCCCACTTTCCTAGCTGCTGTACGAACACACAGTCAAGGTAAAGCATTAGCTGTTGGGGCTGAAACGAAGGTATGGTACGACAGGTGACACGACTGGAAGTCACTGGAGTCAGGAGCACGAGGGGAATGACCTCGCAGAGGCAGAACTACATGCATCACCTACGACTCGATTTCAAGGCAGGTTCTGCTCAAACCCCTGTCCTTGGGCCACATGGGCAGCTGAGACACCAGCTCTGTGCTAGAAGTTTCTGGAACATTCCAATAGCAGTGACTTGTGACAAAAGGGCGCTCAGCCCAGGTTGTGGGAGTGCCAGCCCATGAGAGGTGCCCGCTCATACACAACGGGGATGAGCCCGTGCAGAAACATCCTGTGGGTTCCTCTGCACCTCCTCCTGTACAGAAGGTCGGAGATCAAGCACTGGGAGGGCTCATGGAGTCCCACAGCAGTTAACTGCAAGCAGGAGGAAGGACAGCAGGACTGGAGGACCTTGCCAGGGGTTATCCACCTACTGCCCCAGGGCCAACACGTGCCACTCAGTTCTGGGCTGGTTTGGTTTCACTCTGACCTTCCTGCATCGGTGTTGGAGATGATCACTAGAGACCCACCACATTGTAGGCTATTGGGGTTACCTTCAACGGGGAGGAAATACTTTGTCTCTACGCTGGTCAGTAATTTGTTTAATACCAACAACTGATAGGGGTAAAGCGACGAAATCATTTGCAGCTACAAGCTCTGCAGCTAAGTGCCTTTGAGGCTGAATGCAGGAAGGAGAGTTGGAAGTTGCTATTGGACACGTCCTCAACATTGTTAGTAAAGAAAGCGAATAAGAGGGTTACTATTACTGCCACAGTTTTAAGAGATAAAGTATAAAATATTGAGGCTGCATTTCCCAAGTCTGCAACTTTTTTTTTTTTTATTAAAATAGTAAAAGCTTTTCCTTTGGCAAGGATAACTAAAGTTATACAAGACAAAGAAAAGAAAAGTTCCAGAAATTTCTAGTTTGCAATGATTCTTCCACTTCAATTCAAATCAGTGGTCACGCAGCTAAAGAATAAGGAAACACATTTGGACCTCCAGGGAAAAAATATGACAGATTTGCTTTATGAATATTTGCACACTGTCAGTCACCTCTTCAAATTTACTTGTCCTCAGGACAAGAGACTGAAATATATTGACTGTCAAGCTTAAGTATTTTCTGAAAATACCTAACAGACCACAAACCATGCAGTTTAGGTCTCATGTTGAGCTTCAAAGTTTAATTTACAATATTGAGTCAAGCTGCTCTTTAAAATAGTTGGCAATGAATTTCTGGTTACACAATGGTTTCCTTCTACCAACATTAAGGCGGCAATTATGAAGAAGTTAAATAAATAGTGATAGCAGGCTCAAAGCTAAAGAAATAACTCTCTCAAAGATAACCTATTTCATAATTTTACATTCTATCAGAAAGACTTCCAGTAACTGTGAGAGTCATAGGATTATGCTGTCAAATCCAGCTACGTGATTTGCCAGACGTTACAAAATTCAGTAAGCAAATTAAAGAGTACTTTGTTTTAACTTTAAGGTTTTAATTTAGTAAGGCTGGAAGGGGGAAGGGGAAACTCCAACTTTTATTCAATGCTCACTTAATTTTTGAAAGCTTTTTCTACTTGAAAACAGTTGGCAGAACAGCACAAGTTTGATGATTTGTAGTAGTTTTTGATATGCAGATTTTGGAAGAGTATAACATGAAAAATATTGTTTAACTATCTGTGATTACAGAGATGAGAAATATCTTATCGCCCTTCAGTGGTTATCCCACACGTTTGCAGCCTCACTAGAGACCACTTACCTACACATCTACAAGACGACAGCAAATTACAACAACTAAAATGCAAAACACACACAAGGGAAAAGGCACAGGAAAGATGAAAGTTCAGAACCAAGTCAGTCAGTGCTTTAATAGCTGTTTTGCAGACAGAAATGCTTCTTTGTTTAGTTTCAAAGCCTTACACAAAACAAAAGCTGCTGCCTGAAGCCACTATGCCACATAATCAAGGGAACAAAGGTTCAAACTCACTTAAGTAACATTTTAAACAAAAATTTGACCCTCACCTTGAGCCCTCAAATCTCCCGTTCCTCTCATATTCAGTCGGGAGCCTCATTGAAAAGAATGCAGAAGCAAAAGGAAGTGGGAAAAAGAAGACAAATCTTACACTACAATATACAATATCTGAGCAGCTGCTAAAAGATACTGCAATCATACCAAAGGTGCGTTAAAATACAAAGCAACAAAGATGTAAAGAACTTCGTAGGTTAGACCAAATTCAGAATATAACATTGTCAAACCAAATGGAAGTCTATAAACTACAGTTTTAAGAAGAGTATAACTGATTTTTACAATGTATGTTTATATATATAAATATTGTAGAACTCATTGAATATAAGTTCGACTTCCAAAAGCAGAAAATGTTAAACTGAAGTTACAAACCGTATTGAAGTTAGCGCGTTATTTAGTAAGTACCTCCTAAAAGAGAAATAACTCCCAATTATTTTTAGGCTAATTATATTTTAAAGTTTTATCTGGTAATACAATATATGTTTGAAAAAACCCCCTATTTACAGACAAGCCTGGTCACTCTGTGTGTTTGCAAGCACATCAAATCTGGGGTACTAGGTGTTTAAACAACACCCAATACCTTAAAGCAAAACACCGAGATGCATATACATTTTAAGAGAGATTGGGAGGTAATTCCAAGACTTCTCAAGCTGTGGTACAGCAATCCTAGTAATTCCCACACTGATGCATCTTCAACATCTGAGTAAACTTTAAGCTTTGTGTCTTCTTGAATTGACTAAAGCTATGCTGCTGATCACTACCATTGTTTAAAAGCCCAGTATCAAGTAGAATTAAGGGGGAAAGTCTTCTCCTTCTGCCTTCCCTTTATTGCAGCACCATAGTTCTACATCTCAGTATGAATTCTGCTCGCAGGGAAGCTGTCTTTGTAAGACTCCTATCAAGCCTGCTCTAAGCTAGTACGTGGCTTCACTGAATAATGTAAATTATTAAAGCAGTTTGGTTAGCAGGTGTCTAGGGATAGGAACGTAAGACAGTAAGCTTATTTTCTGAAGCACAGCGGTACTTATATCAGGGCGTGTGGGCTGTTACGAGGCTTCACTTCCTCCTTTCCCTCCTTTTGAGGGTCACAGCAAAGGAACAGGTTTGTAAGAGGACTCTGTGCAGCCTCACACTGCTATTGCAATAGAAATCCAGTTAAGAAAGTGGTACATCACTCGGCTACGAGCTGTTGATCACAACATCCGACCAGAACCCTGCTCTGAGGTCCTGCACAGCAACACGGGGTCTCTGCTAGGAAACACTTCCATTGACTAAAGCTGTCCCAAGCAAAAAGGACAAGGAAGATAGTAAGAAGAGAACAACTGACAAGTCCTCAACTAATTCTAGCGCTTCACAGTGTGTTTTTAATGGTAATAATTTTCATCACTGCAGAATTTTATATACAATTTTAAAAATTCAACTTAAAAAGAAAGAGGGGGAAAATTGTTCCCCTCAGTAACACAGGAGGGCAACTGACTCGGAGGCTGCAGACCCCGATCCCTCAAGTACACGACTGCAATCAATACCTGATGTGAGATTTCTGAAACCCACACTAAGAGATTAAAATGTCAACAGCACTGATAATCATTTTAGTAGGCAGATTAGGATCATGTGCTACTTTACTATGGTAGATATAGGAGAAGGTGGAAAAGATTTCTAATGTCTGCATATACAGCCCATGAACTCATCCTCTACAATTCTGCACAACTGAGATGGGAGTAGGTGGGAAGGGGGAGAACCATCACGGTACCAACTGAACAAACCCACACCATTCTGATGGTCTGCGAAAGGCTCGTTTTACTGGGCAAAGCAAGCAACAAGTCTGAAGATGTTGCTCAACTGAAAGACTGAGAGAACTTGAACTTTAAAGTGCCTACTGTATTCCTATGAGGTGGAAGACGACAGCTTTGTTAAGAGCTGCAAGCATTTATGGATTTATTATTTATTTTTAAACTTGCCAGAGGTTGTAGAAAATGGGAACATAACCAGTATCCCCAACAATGAATAGTCTTACTGTTATTGGAATCTGTCCAGAAAAGTCTGGGAGGAAAAAAAATCCCTAATGATGTCTTCAGATCCTTTTTAGGTTGAAACGAAGCCAAACTGTTTGGCTTCTAAACCATTGTACTCTAAATCTAAGTAAGGTCATTATTTACAAAATACCTGCCACACTGAAATAAAAAAATTTGCTTTCATGGAAGCCTCAAAAAATCCTTACTTTGTCCACTTTTTCAATGCATCAGTGTTCCATTCATTTAGCACAAGGAACTGCACTCAGCGATATGCACCCTCAAATACAGCCATCGTGCCAAATTTTGGAGCGCTGTGCCAGTCTCTCTAGATGCTTGTTCCTTCGCGAAGGACATGGTCATGGTCCAGTTCTACAGCCCAGCACTGGTGCTTTGGGAACAGTCACTTGCTGTACTGCCAGTATTGTTTCGGTGGGTTTGCAAGTCAGATGCAGCCCTGAGGCCTCCTCACTGCTAATACAATCTTCACTTCTGCAGGAACCGCAAATTCTTAGTTTATGTTCTAAATTTTCTGCTTTTGCTTGTATTTTTACATAAATTAATTTTACGGACCAAAACGCTCCTTGGTCTTGAGAATGAAACAAATATATAGGAAAGTTATGTTCTCATCTGTCTTGCAATGCCTGTACATTATCTCCTTTATGGTTTGGGGAAGGCTTTAAAAAAATAAGAATGTTTCCATACATCTGTCCCGAGTTACACTGTGTTTTCTGTTCTTTACATCTTTGTAAACTGTGTTAAAAATCCAAATAAACACAAAGAAAACTGTCAAAAAAGATAAGAAAAAACAGCAAAAAGTGAAAGACGCCCAAATAAGATCAATTTATGGAATGGAGAAAAGATGCTGCAATAAAATCCAGAATGCTGAAAGTGATTTTTGCTGTCAGAAAAAAAGTTAGACTTCCACAATATGCAGATTGGCAAGGACAGTGCATGGTATGAGAGAGATATATATTTTATACCTCTGTGTACCAAGTACAATATTAGGACTTAGCAGTTAAAAAAAAGAAGTAACTGATTATCTACTTTTATTCAGCTCCCCAAAACAATGTTGCAGTACTATATCTATATGGTATTGGGTTGTAGTAGTTCTTTCAGTATCAAAGACAATGAGTTTAGGTAAGATTCGTAGCATATAAAGTGGTAAGAAACTGCCAAACCCCCCAAGGTTTTAATTTTAATTCTGTACCTACACGCAGGATCAGGTATGGGGGGACACCACACACACTTAAAATAGAATTTTAAAAGCACAGTCTGGTCCTGTGTAGGTGATGTAAGGCTCTGCAAATCTGCAGTGGAAGCTGCAGCAGCTATTTCCACAATAGTCTAAGGTTCCTGCCTCATGTCAAGGAAAAGATTTTTAAAAATAAAATTAAAAATTTACTTTTTTTTTTTAAATTCTCAAATTTGAACAGCAACCTTCTAGTTTAAAACTTTACCATGTTAGCATTTTCCATCTGTCTTTAGAGCAGCAGTGTAACAAACTTATATGCACCCAAGTTGTGGAGGTTGTACAGTCACAATCCTTTGTTTTAAAAGCAATGTGACTACAGAGAGATAAAGCTGTACGTACCCCACAGCTCACGATGCGCAATGGGTTCAAACTACTGCCGCTGCTCAGTTTCATCTGTACACTGAGCGGGATGGTTCCCTTCCCTAACTAACAGTTTGTGCATGTTCCTTTTCTCAAGCCAGCTGTGACAATACTAGCCAACCCAACCAACACCAGTTCTAAACAGAGTCATGTTCGGAAGACCCCGGATTATTATTACTGTCACGTGGAATTTACTCACTTAATGGGGGCAGTACCTTTAGACTTGGACTGTACAAAATAACCCCAAATTTAAGTAGCTACGTACCTATCTCAGGTCTCCCTAATCTAAATATTTCCTTGAAATGGTATGAAAACCTTCAAATTACAGTCACATCCATAGCCTTGCATTTTGAAAGTTAAAATAGATGTCTGTTTTTTGGCCCTGTCTCCTTTTTTTGCTAAGTAGTTGGAAATTGAAAGTACCACCCTTTAAGAAGCCACAAGATAGGATACAACTTACGAGAATATCACCAGAGTCTACTGGAAAATGTACCCGCGGGTCAAAATTGTATAGCCAACTTCCATGAGTCACAGTGGATTAACAAGATATATGGCAGCCTGATTCATTCCCAAATTGTACAACTAAATTCAATCCTTTGGGCTTGAAATGTGAATCAGACTTTTTGAGCTTTTCCCTTTTGTTAAGAAATTTGCATAGATGTTATATATTTTTTTGTTTGTAACAGACGTGCTCTATGTGCACTTCAGCTGCAACTCAGTTCAGCGAGTGCATCCCATTTTAAAATAAAGACACAGCCATCGCATCTTCATTCAATCTTCCATACAAAACTGTCAGATTCAGAACTGTGTTCAGTTTGCTTTCTATCGTATCAACTGCAGACAACACTTCAAACTGATTTTTTTTTTTTTAAATACAATATCATAAAACAAAGAGATAGAGAATGTAAATTTAGGATCACTTACCTTTATTTGCTTGTAACCTTATGTTTTGTTTATACTTTCATCATTGTTATCAAACACCTCATTCTTCAAACATAAGCATGCTAAGTGTATTAGTACAGAGAACAGAATTACTTTGGTACTACCAACTCTATCAAAGAAAGAAGAATTCACAAGGCATGCGCAGCATCTTGTTATACAGGTGCCACAGATTCTTAAGTATCGTCATGAGTTAATGGATTTATTCTATGCTTTCCTCTCAGGAGGGAAAGTATTTAGTTCTCAGCAGAAAGTTTAGTTTTCAGAAAACCAAGGCTAGAAAGCCAAATCTGTTGTTAATTGCAGGAGCCACTTTTTTTTAAATATAAATAAATCCTACCTTTTGATAAACCTGAATGACATGTTTCTAAAAGAAATTAAGCCAAAATAATAATTAACAAAAAGTTTTGTACAAAATAAATCGAAAAAGCCATTTAGAGTGAAACATGCAAAAAGATCTCATTTAAAACGCACAATGAAATTACACTTCAATACATTCTGAGAATAGGCAGTTGATTTAAGGTCTGACGAGTCAAACTCTTAGCATTACTACTTCCAAACTTAATTTTTCTGGGAAATATGCCACCAGTAGTTATTATGAATTGAAATATGTACTGGTGTCAAAACACTTCTACAACTCATAATCTGCAAGGTCACAAAAAAGACATTTGGATTTTCTTCATGTATTTCAAATACAGAGCAAAAATCTACCATAATTAGATCTTGAGTATCTTCAGAGTTAGGTTTCTTCCTTCATTCATAATATTAGGTCAGCCACGTTGTGCCAAAAACTGCTTTAAATAGTTAGTTAATTTAGTGGCAGAAGCTGTGACAATTGCCTACACCAGAAAAGAATTAGTCACTAAATCAAAAGGATTCTGATCCCCCACAGATAATGCTAGAATAAGTTAACAGGTTTTGAGGGTTTTTAAAATTTCTTTAAAGAGAAAAACCATAAACTTGGCTTTTGATGGGACCATCCACCTCCTCAGTAGTTTGTGCAGCACCTAGTATAGCGGAGCCCCAACCATAAGAGGTCCTCCAAGTGCAAACTTAACCATCTGTAACAGCGCCATTGTGTTACAACTGTACATTATTTAATCAAGTCCAGATGGAATTTAAACTATTGTCAAAAGCAGTGGGGAAAAATTTCTTTAAGAAAACCACACTGCACTGCAAAAGTTGAAACTTGGAGGCAATGACAGAAGCTTGAATGCTGCCTAAACAACTGAGCGACGCACAATGACAAATTGTATGTTCCAGCAGCACAAGTGAAAAGCTTGCGTGTTCACAGTTTGAGTGTCCACATTTGGAACGTCAGATGGAAAATTAAGTAAGAATATTACAAACAAAAGTACAGAAAGAAAGATGTGCCAAAAGGATGTGTTTGATTAAGACTTCACTTGACAAAAAGCAGACGACTTAATTCTTAAATAAAAATACTCAAATTAATCTTCTATCTCTCTCTCTCTCTCAACAGAAAAAGAAGAAACATACTTCCCAGGGAAGCGTTAGCTGGCAGACAGCTGAGCAGGGAAAGACATTTACGAAAGGCTGGGCTGTCACGTTTTTGTTTTTCACAAAAACAACTTGTACATTTTAAAAGAAAGTCACTCTCTGAATTGTAACTGTCCAGCTGTGAAAAACTGGAGTTTGGCTCAGCATTACTTTGTAGGAATGGGCGACTATGAAGAGGATGCTGAGATGGAGGCATGTATAGTCACTGAACAGACAGGAAGGAAATGGCTTGGTGCTGATGTGATGTAAGCCCAAAACAAAAGCAAGCAGGCCGAGATCAGAATGATATATTCCCCCCAAAATTTCACATGATGAGGAGGGTACAAAAGCATGGAGATTATCTTAAGGCAAAGATGAACAAACCCTCACTTCTGCAAACACAACTTGTGGATATCAGAGTGGTCTGAAGTATGCAGTATGTGAACTGACAAGTTTTAAATATAGAAGGAAAAGAGGTGGGTTTCAATTTTAGGGTTTGTAGACACTAATTTAAATCATACACGGATTTGAAAATAGAAGTCCAATGAGAATAAAACTGTTAGTGCAGGAAGAACACCTGCTTTAGCTAGGCTTTGGCTAGACCAACACACCTCCACACCAAAACCAGAATCTGCACATGAACTAAAGGTCAAAATAGGAGTAAGTTTTTCAAGGTTTGACCAGACCCCTGCCTAGACAGAAAACACAGTACTGCCATTATTTTAATATGACCTATGCTAGCACTACGCCCAAAAGAAGCTTTTGGGTCCTGCCCCTACCCTTTCACCTGTGACCTATTCGTGTGTTGCCGGCAAGATTATTCTGGAAATATTAAGTCTAAATGATTGGGAAACACAACCTGACCTTCCAAGGCTACATGCAATATCAAGACTGGGATCCTAGTTTATGCTGTCAACTGACAGACCATGCAGTCAGAGTGAGCAGCTTCTGAACTGAGCTGAAATGTTTCAGCTCTGCAGCATCTGTACCTCAGACATGAGGATGACGAGCACAGAAGAAACAGCACAGACAAAGCTGTCTCTCTTTTTACCCCATTTGATTCAACTGCTAAAAACAAATGGCATCTGTAACCAAAAAGAACTAAAACAAAATAAATCATAAGGCAGTGCATCCTAAGCTGCAGAATTGTTAAGCCATTAATCAGAGAATGTGGACAAAACAACCTAAGCAACAAACTACTAGGTATGTCTACTACCTGATAAAAAGGAAACGTCGCATTACCATTTTAAGAGGCTTACCTTCGTGTTAGTTTTGAAGTTAGTTTACTAAATAGATTAGTGGAACCCCTGGTTCGAGTCTGCGAGAGTGGTGTTGCTTCATGAGACAGACTGGGGGATGCTGGCGGTCCGTTGTAGGTAGCAGTACGTCGCTCTCTGAGCTGGCCGTGGAAAGTGCTCCGACTAGCCGTTCCTCTGGGGAAACGAATACGATCAGGTGTGGTTGCACTGCTAATGCTGTGAGTTGAAGCAACAGGAGTTCTCTGATCGGGAATAGTGCTAGAGCAGAAAACAAAAAACAACGCTAGAACTTCTTTACAGAAGCACTACGGTTCTGCAGGAAACACAAAACACTATGCTCTACAGTAAAGCATAAGCAGACACTTTTATATAGGCCAGGGTTGGAAATATCAACATTATTACAGCACTGTGTGGAATCAAAACTTGTAAGAAGTTAGGATTAAAAGGCTGCCGAAACAGAAACCTACATAGGCATAAAAATGCAACAGGAGTATCCTGGAAAAGACCGGATAAACTAGGCATACAATGTTTCACTGAGAAGCCCGATAAAAGAATAGATGAGTGAAGTTTCCTCCCAGGAAAGAGAAGCAATAGGTAACTTTAGTGTCTCTCCCTCCACATTCCATATATGCATCTTTGAAAATCTTACTAATTTGAAAGTATCCTACATAAAATTCTCTACAAGCAAACCGCTCCCAGCAGTGAAGTCCTTCAGGATACACAGTTAAAAAGTCTCCCACAAACTTTGACAATAGGGAATGTCCAATACTCCTAACACCAGGAAAAAAATTAAGGTTCATTATTGCAGGATTATGTCACAGACAGCCTGACACACCACAAGACAAATGTAAACAAGACTAAAAAAATGAGGAAACACACATCTTGTGGGCAATATATACTAGAACAATCTAGGACTAAAATTCCACAGCACAAAGTTAAGAAGCAGTGGGTATAAGTTAGTTTCACAACGATTTCAGGTTCTTACATAGGCCTGAAGTTATCTGCGCCATTGTCTATTGGAGGCAACATCATCTTCGTGTGCACAGAGGCTGACATGGACATCGACTTCTGATGTCGCAGCCGAACACTGGAGAAGGATGTAGTACAAACTGAAGCAGGGCTAGCTGCGTAAGCGAACATTTCTGTCAGGCTGTGAGGGGGTTTGGGTTCAGGCAGAGGCAGAAAGAAGAGCATGATGGACCAACAACAAACTACTGCATAGAAAAAAAGCAAACTTTTCCTTCTATTAACTGATTTATCAAAGAACACGAACTCTAACAGCCCTCTTCTACGTAAACAGCAGTAACTACCCTATGCTCCCCTTAAAAAGCATCCGTACTATAGCACTTGACATCTACGAAGTGATCATTCTCTTACCATTAGCATTAGTTTCCGGTGATACCCTCCTTGACATACAGAACCTGAATAACTCAATGTTCTGTGCCAAAGCACTAGTATAAAGCACTGATGTAATTTGTATTGCTCTTAACATTAAAAAATGCATTAAAAAACCCCACCAACTGCACTTTCCAAAAGACTGATGATGGCTCCATTACTTTGTTTTCAGAATGTATCTGTGTTAAAAGAGATCAATGTAAGTTGGGCAAGCTGTCAAATGTTGAGCTGCATCTGATAACCGAGGGACTTCACAGGCACAATCGAAAACAATAATATTATGATCTTTAACAAGTCCAGAGAGGCCCAAACAAAAAGGCTACCGTTAGTCAACCTGTACATGTAGGAGGCAATGCATAACGCTTGATGTTCTCTGAAGAAAGAGGTACGACTGTTGAAGAGCATCTCGTATTGCTTGGCCACAAACCTTAAATTCTCCAAATTACCATTTAGGCTTTGAAAGAAGGTCTACAGTGTTGTCTTAGTAGAATGGCCAGTAAGCTGCCAGCTGTATAATATGTTAAAATAGCAGTATGAAATCTTCTTCTTTCTTTGGGCCAAAACACTCTCTGCAGCCTTCACATTACCCAGTAATGATAAGGATAGGAGAAAACAGAGGCCACAATGTCTATCGGGCCTTCCAGGCTACCACACCATACATCATTCAACTTTAGTTTGCTTTAAAAGTAAGGCAATTGTGATTCAGAAATATCGTCCGAGGTTAAGAAATCAGTAGTTGCCAGTGACAGTTTCATGACACTGCATGTTCACTTCCAAGTTACTTCATAGTTAGACATAGTGAACTTCAAGTCCTGTTATCTCATTCTGGTATGTCAGACTTCAGAGAGGAGAATGCCAGTCCAGCTACAAGTATCAGCTGACCCACTTCTCGGGCTTAGCTCTCAAAGCACTAGAAGAAAACACCTCACAGCTCAGACATCAGAACTGCTGGCTAAAATGCTTAGCAAAATTTACTTCTTTTTGTTTTGTTTTTAACTTTCCGGAATCTAGAAAATTCTGAGTCACGCATGCATCTCTTTACAATGCCGAATCCAGCAGGATGCTAACTACAACCACTACTACAACGGAGCCCGCAAGACAGCCCAGCTTTTACATTACCCCAGGGTATTAAGACACTGTAAGAAAACGAGCATTCATCTCAAAAGCAGTACCCCAAAGTCAAGGAATCCCCTAATAGTTGGTCACTAGCCTCTCAAGCACTTCTAGCTCCTTTCATCTCAATGTGTTACAGAGGATAAAGGAGAAAGAATCTAGTTGTACAACATGTTAGACTCAAGTTTTATTTAGTCACCAGCCTCCAAAGATGTGATAGCTAAAAGGTATCAATAAGGTACCAGAGCACATATTAAAGCATTTATATTTCTTCCTCTGAAGCTTTGCTAGAAATCAGCTTCCTTGGCTTACTAGCCTGGGAACACAGAAACAGCGAGCTAACATTCACCAATTAGAGCCAAGGCTTATTAAAAATCTGAGGCTGTTGTAAATCATTTTGTTACAAATAATTTAAAGCAATTGCCTATCATTATGACGAGTGTTTCATGAGTCCCCAAGTGCGTTAATTAATGCTCAGGCTTTGGAGGAAAGCCAACAGAGTCATCTCCAGCAGAATGCCTGTGTCAGCCCCACAATGTGTTGAAGTAGGGATGCGCGACCTAAAAACCCTTTGCTTCTACCAGTCTGGCATGGGGTCTTCAAGACTACTTTCTCCAACATCAAGTCAACTAGCTGACTATCGATTCTTCAAAGTTTTCATACCTTCAGAAACGGTGCCTTCTCAGAATTCAACGTGCAGGATAAAAACAGAACAGGCAACATTTGAACACTTTCCTCAACAGAAAGAACAGAGAATGCACACATCTTGCCTTTTAAGGCAAACCTCCCAAGTTTTCACTGGGTCGCAGTCAGTATCTGACTGGCTGTGGAAAATCTAAAATCCAATCTGTAACAAATCATTTATAGTAATTACTCCTGCCTTTAACATTTGCCACCAATAGACATTGCAAAAGAACAGAAAGCATTTTTAACAAAACCTTGGATTTGTACAAAGCCCAGGTTCTACTTCAGATCTTGCTTCACAGAAGAAAAACCATTACAAGTGTCTATAGTTACTTTCTGCCAAGATGAGAGTGCAATAATATTAGAAATACTACAGAAACACCTGAAGGCAGGCAGAATTCATTCTGAAGAGCCAGTCCCATCGACGACCACGTTTGTTTAGCCTGCATTAAAGGTCCCTGCATTTCATGTTATCAGTCAAGCCTTTGCCCCGTTACAGCAACAAAATATATTCAGATGTAAATTCTGAATTCTGTGCCAAAACACAGTAATTCTGAAACGGTGCCAAAATGAATGCGCAGTTTAGCGTTGAAGCATTTGAGACAACGAGAAGTCTCCAACTGTAGAACAATTAGCAATGCATTCTCTATCTTTTCTTGTTTTAACACTCTATAAAGAATAATTAAAGTAGTAATCAAAAACACGCGATAAAAAGCTATGAAGGTCTTTTTTTTTCCCTGACAATGAAAATATAAATGCCTAGGCATTTCAAATGACCCAAATAGGACTAAAGTTTGCAGGATAAGCAAACGATGTTTGGATACCATATTGACAATAAAAGGCGTTACATGAGGATAACCAATTATGGATATAAAACAGAGTTAAGATAATGCCCATATGCGACAAACCAGAAAGACAGCAGTTTGCTGAGGAACTCAAAGTTGGGGGAAAAATATAGTAACAACTTCAAAAGGAATATGAAGTTACTCCTAAATTAAGGGGACATCTGAATCTCAAGCATTCCTAGTAAACAATATCTAATAACATTTTAAAAATGTAATAAAGAATTTGTAGACAAGACATTGCAAAGATATTAGTTTAAAGATGAACAAAACTGTTATTAAACCAAGAAACCGAGTAATCAAATCTGATCAAAACTGTTTTGGACAGAAAGGTTCATTTTTCAGAGAGTTTGGAAAGAAAAAAGCAATTAACATATCAAATCAAAGAAAGAATGGTGAGCTTTAATCTAAACAAACTTGGTAACATGAACAAGGACTAATCAATGAAGGCTGAGACAGACACACTAAGAGACAGTACCAAAGAGCTGTGCTGTACTTCACAAGACAGTTGACTGCAGGCCCAGCTGGCCAGCTAGACTTTTGGCACTCTTCAAACTTATACTTGACTTTTTCCTTAATCACTTTCAGTTTGCAGAAAGCTAGGAGGAAGAGACAGGGTCAAAATCATGTCCTTTATCCCTAGGCTCCCGGGCTCAAACAAGAGACAGAGAGACTCTCCATTCAACATCACAAATTCACCACTCTTCCTTATAAACTGCTGAAAGAAAGGGGGAAAATTCTGTGCAAAAAGTGGCAGATCTTACACCAACTTCAACACGAGCTAGAAGAAAAGTAATTTCTTTCCACCCTTTACAATATATCATAAGATTAGGAAGGGGTGGAGAAAATTGGAAAGAGTAGGAGAGAGGTATGCATTCCTCCAAGCTTAAGCATTTTTATTAAGTACTAGCTATCTGGGCACTCTCCTGGCAACCGTCAACTACTTAATTGTTACCAGCTTTTGAGACCAGTAAAATTCTGTGAAAAAACAGTCGGTTGGAACTTAAAACACCTCAGCCAGCCAGGAAATTTGGTGGTATTCTTCAAAAGCGTTACTCTATACCTAATGTCTACATTCACTATTGTATTTATTTTCTACAGCTCTCAGTCTGCGGTAGACGGGGAAGGATGGCACAAGATACGGCTATGGTGTCAACACAAGAAGTGGTTAACTCCAGTTCCATTGCATGCTCCAGTCAGGCTTTCATTCAGTATAGTAAGAGGAAAGCTGTTATTTCTCTGTTTTCAACTCAGAATTTGGAAGCATCCGTGCTTCCCTTCTCAAGATGAGCTCTGTAAATACTGGGAAGCAATTAAACTACAAGGGTATCAGTAAGGAATGTTTTTATAGCCTGAGACAACGGCCTATCACTGTTTCATCTTTGCTCAGAAAAACTGATCTCTCCCTGAGACTTCGTAGAAAAAACCGCTATTCCAAATAATCCCAACAAAGCACAGTTTAGAGTGAAATGTAAAAATAATGGCCCAAGAGAGATGCACTTTGTAGTTTGACACTGAACAAGCCTCTTCTGCAAGCATATGTTGTCTGGCCATGCCACAGGAGTTAACAACTGATTTAAGATGAAGGCTGTACAAGTATGACACGTATTTAACCAGAAATTAGGATCTTCCTTTTACATTCTAAGTATGAAGACTGTATGACTTAAGCACAGAAAAAAGCCCCAACATACTTACAGGTGCTCCATAACCAAAGATCTGTACTCACCTTTCATTAAGAATTACACTAGAATATTACTGTTTTTTAAATAAGGCATTATAATTTTTTGGAAATGTGAAGACAAGGGACATACACCATAGGAAGACATTTCATATACCTGTTCTCCTTGCCATTTTGTATCACTGAATGCCTATCAGCAGTGGTTCTTTCACTACAAACATATGTGTTGCGCCGTGTCATTGCTCCAGGGGCGGTATTATTCTACAATTAAAAAACATAGGCTTGTTATTCCCCACAAGAGGCTTTTCTGCAGTTAAGTCGACATATAATTAAAGGCTGTTTCACTTCATGCTAGTTCTACACACTTCTAAAACTTACAATAATTCAATAAGGTAATACACAAACACCTCCCAGTATTTTTAAGGAATAACGCAATCAGAAAAAATAATTCTAACAAGTTGTTCTTGTATTTCATGTTGATGGCTCAAAATTATTATCACTTAAAGTTTTTAATTACCGACGTTCTGAATTACAAATTCTCAGTATGTATAGCATTCATCTACATCTGGATAGCCTATGTCTTTATAGCCTATTTTTGAAATACTTTACCACTTGTAGATTGTAGAATTTCCCTTTAAGTTAAAATCATACCCTTAAGTAAGATAAAAAAAGCAAAGACTTAAGAAACAAATGTGGTAAAATTCAGTGGGAAGGTAAACATGAACTTTTAAATATTAAAATACTATAAAACACTAGACAAGTTTTTTAAAAAAGGGAAGAATAACTGAAATTAAAGAGACAAATTGCAGAGAATTTTAATAAGACATTTTTAAAAACATACATTTAAATACAAGTATAATACATTGAGGACAAGAGAACCAGGGGAACTTAAACTACAGACCTTACTTTAGAGGGGAGAAAAGAAATAGAATTACTTTGCCTCTGTCTTTACAGAGAAAGAGGGTGGAGATATGCCCAAGTTGGCGGTCAATTTTCCAGGAACGACTGAGAAGCTAGGTAATTCACAGATAACAGAATTATAAAATGTTAGATGCAATTACTGTAGGAAAAGCATGGTGGTCCAGATAAACATGCACCCCCAGGTTGTAGAGGAAGTAAAAGCCGGCAAGCCTTACATTTTTACTCCCCACCCCAAGAACATAACACAGGAAACTGCATATGGTTGGAAATTGGAAAAAACCTTTAAAAATTGTCTTTAAAGAAAAGGATCACGGGGCAAAGCAGGAAGCAAAATAGGCTATTAACTTTAAACATCACTGCTGGGGAAAGTCTTGGAGGAGGCTGGCTTAAGGGAATGACTGGTCAGCACCTGGATAAGCACATGTTGAGTAAGGATGGCCACTAAGAATCAGGCAGGGGACTTCATGCTCAACTAACCTTTTGGAGCTCTTTGAAGAATTACTGCTATGATAGACAAGGGAAATTCAGTGGATTTTTAAAATAGCATTAAGAAAAGGTTTCACATAAATGGTCACGGAGAGAATCAGGGGAAGAAGGATAAAAAGAATAAAGAAAAAAAAAGTTCAAGCACAAAAGGAGAGTAGCCAAACCTTTTTTGTTGCCGAACCTGAAATAAAACTGTTAAAGTGGAGTATTCTCAATAACCAGCAAAAGCTTCACCAGTGCCTTAAGGCAAAATATTTGCTATACAGGGAGTCTCAAGCAACTTAAACCCTGAGCTGCAGATTTAACAATGAAGCCATCTTGTCTGTTTAAAAGACTGCTGGCCTGCTACACATCTTCACATGAATGTACAAACAAAAATGAGAAGTGAACCGAGTGACCTCCTGGTGTTAAAAAGTACAAAGAGTATCAAGAGTATTTTAGATTTGCAGAACTATTAATTAAATCATAAGTAGTACGTAGTTGTCTCAAGGGTTCTCAAGTATTCTTCACTGGATATTCCTTAGGGACAGGCATGAGCCAAGCATCAGCAGAAGTCCTCCTGGCCCTTTCCTTGTACTTTATTCCTTACGCATCCCCTTGCCTTCCTATCTGTTCATTTATTTAAAATAATCCATTGGTTCTTATACTTTCCTCTGACATTTGTTATTGTGCAAACTCCCCTCTGTTTACTAAACTTGCTAGTAATGAGACTGTGCACCTAATGTGAAGTTTTGGTTACATGTTCGAGAGGTCACGCTGTGCGAGACACTTTGTGAAGCCCTCGCAAACCAATAGTACGCTGAAGTATTGCATATTAATATTAGCACATTATGTTGTTCTGTGTTCCTGAATCTATTAGAGAATGAGGCACCTACAATATCCGACTTTTTCTGGTGGGAAATATGGACGATAATGGGTGGCTTACTTCTTTCCACCTGCTCCCTTAGAACATTAAATACTTGTTTCCCTTGACAAGCCACCACATAACATTAAAATGTACTGTGAAGTTGCACATCTAGAAAGACAAGACAGCAATCTCTGTGCTGGATCAAACTTTAAAGACTATGCATTTTCAGGTCTGGGAGTAGACAAATTTTGGTATTCATATCTGGAATCGGAGGACTCTAAAGATGCTCCTTCCCAGCTCTTTCTGAACGCAAAGACAGAAGGATCAGTATACATTTTTTTCTGTTTGGTTCAGATTTCAGAGGTCATGAGAGGAGATTTAAGCATTTGAAGATTTCAAATTTCAGTTTTAGCAAGAATACCGTCTTGGCATTGGGGCCTTTACACTTTTTAGCATATGACCTTTCACGATTCATCAAGGAAGCTCTTCAGCTACAACTTTTTTGTTCAGCCAATCTACAGACTATTAATGTCTGGACATGACTAAGTTGCACACGTGCACAGCACAGGAAGCCTGGAACTGGTGTCAACCACGCTCCCCGATGGAATGACAACCCCTAGGGTTAAGGTCAGCCGCATAAGTTCATCCTTGTGGCATCATCTGCCTTCTTTGCAAGAGGTGTTGACACTGCAAAAGCACATGTTGAGACTTCTGAGCATACGCACAAAGTCCAATCACAGCACAAAGGATGAACGTGTGGTACAGAGTCCTCCTCTTTTCCTATAGAGTCTTGTGCCCACTGCTTAGGTAGGCTGTTCGCGCATGAAGAGACACCAAGGCGAGGACTGATGAAACACTTTCAAAGAATCAGCTTCTGACTTAAAATAATGAACCAATCTGTTTACTTAAGAGTACTCGTATGTTTTTTGGTCCTAAACGACTTTACAAACATATCATCTACTCTCCTCTTCCAGTTTTCTTAAAGCTATATTAAGGGCTCTGTGTATATTAAGAGCTTCTTACAAGCATTGAGGAAAAATCCAAAGCTGTGATTAATAAACAATTAGTTGCTGCTATCTATACAACCCCTGTAGCACATTTTTCTTATTAATTTGGTATTTACCCAATGAACCTGAAGCTTCTGATGTGTACTTGTTCAGCTTGCAGAACTATTTAGCTTGCAAGAGTTTAAAGACCTTCAACTTTACAAGTACAGCTTGGAGCCCCTTACTCCAACCTCAGACTTAACTGTCTGCTCTACAAGCACAACTCTTATCCTCAAGTGCATGCTTGTAAGCTTTGTTATTTAATAAGAGCAGCACACAACTGGCTAAGGGTCTCCAGCAAGGACCAGTTCAACTGCTTTGGCAGTATTTGTCAAAAGTAGTAACTGTTTTTAAATAGTATTTTTCTGTCGCTTCAGTGATTTTTCTCATCACATTACTGATTCTAGGACTTGGGTGCTCAGTGAAAACACAAACTCTCTCCACCTCAAACTTTTTACTTTTTTCAACTTCAGGACAAATATGGTAACTCCAGTATCTTTTTTTTCCTTCTAGATGCATGCCAGTACTGTAAGAAATAAAACTCCCTAATCAGTTCCAGGAATTGTGTAAAAAGTCAGTGCTTCCCTCCATCCCCAACAGCCAGAAAGCAAAAGACTAATCTCTAGCCAGGGGGTGGGGAGAAATAAGAGAGTTTGCACAGTCTGACAGAGAGCTATAAACAGCGACAATTTTAAACTAATTAATTAATCACTAATTAATTGAGTGACATCACAAGTCTGATTCCATGTTCACCACCTTGTACCACTGCTTATAAAAGCTCAGTTGCACACTGAATCAGAAGAGGGAAGTATCCTATGGTTATAAGTTCGAATTTTATTTCGGCTACAGTAGTAAGAAATTTGCAATAAGACTACTGGAATAAATCCCCAGGATTTGGGAGTGGTATAGAATGGCAGATCAAAATACTAAAGACACTAAATGTAAAACGTGTTGTAACTGTGATGCAAAACTCTTGAATAAGGCACTAAAAAATACTTAGAAAAGTCCAATGTAGGACAAAATTGATTTGATTTTCCTACCATTTTGAGACTCAGCAGCTAAGAACTGTCATTTAAGAAGAAACAAAGTCTGATCAAAAACCAAGGGAAAGGGCAGGGGATGACAAAAATTACGAGGGTCTCCCAAAATCATGAGCTTTTGTTCACATTTATGAATAACAGCTGCTACAGTAGAAGACGTGTCTTTCCAAGGAATCTCTTTGGCTGAAATCCTCCAGCCGAGTCACTATCAGCCACTGAGCCAACTGACAATACAGAGCCAAAAAAGTAAGACTTTTTTTTAAAAAATCTTATTATACTTATTTTGCTGTGAGCTCAGGAAGTTTTGTTCTCATCTGTTATAAGTAATGGTGCGAGCATACGACCAAATATGAACTTTGTGGGATAAGTTTGAAAAAAAAAAAAAAGAATCACTCCATTGCAAGTTGAATAAAGAACTGGGAAATTATTTCTTCTGAAAAGAAGGAAATTTTTCAGCACAAAATCCCAAAGTTTTAGAAATTAAACATTACAAGACTCAAGAGTTACTACGCGAAAACAGATTTCCAACTTTGCCTCAGAGGGAGGCACCACAGAGTATACAAGTTGAAGCCAAACCAAACAAAGGAGTTTCTTTCTTTTGGTACACTGTCTACTACTTGACCCTGTAAAATCAGCAGTTATGCGCCTGGTGTGGGGTTTTTTGTTGTTGTTGAGGTTTAGGTACAGGTGGGGACATCCAAAAGGACAAAAGCCATGCACGTTGCTTTTAAACACAGGTTGAAATACACCTTTCAACAGTTTTTAGAGCTATATTTCGATAATCTTAATATACATAACTATGACTTGGAATAGCCTGTTTGAGAACAAAGACTAAGTGGCTTCTTATACACATGAAACTATAAAACAGGATAATAAAAATAGAGATTTCATTCTGCTGTACAGAGGCCACAGAAGAGTAGCTGCTGCTATCAGAAATAACTCACAGGAAATTTCGGGGGACAGTCTTTGGGTTCTGTTTCTTTTCTGTTTTTTTTTTTAAATATTTTTTAATACGTAAATTATGTCTGTTGATCAACGGCTACTACTGCTAATCAGTAATAACTACTAACTACTTCAGGAATATTAAAAGGTAACTTGAGCAGCTGACTGATGCAGGGGAAAAAAAGGCGACAGTATGAGATACCTACATTTACTCTTGATGAAAGAAAAGTAAAATCAGCACCACTGATAAATTACAGGTTTAACACTTTTTCACCCCTCAAAAACATTTCATGGTTTTGATAAGTAAGCGTTTTTACTTACACTAGGCACAGCCGAACTTTTCTTACGTTCAGGAATATCAGCCTTATTGGGATTGCTGGCATTTCCAAGCATTGGACTAGCTGGTGCAATTCCTCTTCCTGCAACAGCACTACTGCTGGATTTTCTTGACTGAATTCCTTCCTCTTTGAGGTCACTGTCTGTAGTACTGGTCTGGCTTCTTTTGGGATATGCCACTACTGAGGGAATGGATGGTCCAGCTTAAAACACAAGGAAAAAGAACAGGAAAAGGATTTTTCTTCTCAGAAGTTCAGTATCTATTTTTCACTACAATGGAAACGCATTCACACATGAGAATCAAAATAATTAACACTGGGAATCAGATTTGCAAAAAGGTGATTATTTAAATTACTGAAATATGCATGTTTCAGAAGACAGTATTGTGAAAAACAAAACACTTTCCAAACACTTTTTTTTTTTTTTCCCTCTTTAAGGGTGGGGGGGACATAAGGGAGGCAACGACGCCACACAGACACAACACCCTGAAGTAAGGCCCCCCATTTTCTAATAAAATCTGACAGATTTGATATTCAAAGCAACTCTAGTAAGGCTTCCCCTTATATTGTAATTCAAAGATACATAACTCTCTTCTTTTTACCTTGCTAAGGACAGAAGGGCCATAATAACAGACAATTATGTGAATTAATTATGTGAAGATATCACTTGATTTTCATGAAAGAATTAAGAATTTAATGGAGTGTGCTGGTGTTTGAGTACTGGCACTGGTTTGGCTTGGTAGGAAAAAAACCTTTAGAACCATCTTAAAGACACTTAACAAGTAACTGACTCTCATTCAAATCAGAGGATCTTTCATTAGCACAAAGCTGGCACACGCTGTTCAAGCCAATTTGTGATAAAATTGGGCTCTTGAGACCGGTATCTGGTGACAACCCTGGACCACCAGCAGCACTAACGACCATCGGACTGCTCTCCTGCAACAGCCCAGAAGCAGGGGTGGTTTGCCACCAGCCTCCCCGGGTGTGCCAGAACCCCCGAGAATGAAGCAGCCCCTTCAACAGTCCCAAGCTCCCGCCTGCTTTCATAGGTTCCTGGACACAGGGAAAAGCCTGGGGAGATGTCAGGATTGTGTTTTCTACTGTCTCAAGATACATTAACTTTGTAGTTAGTGTTCTAATAAGAATTAATTGAGAAGTGTACGTATTTACACGGACATAAAAATGCATATATATAAACATATATATATATATAAAAATACATTAAAAAGTGTCACAAAACACAATAACCATCATCCCAGGAGACTCTCCAAGGAAAGCAACCTCTGAATGTACTTGACCTAAACAGAGACTCCTTTTATAAGTCTGGGCAGGAAGATGTTTAAGATACTTAGAAAACTCTAAGCTACTATCCTGCACACTCATTAAGCAGAAGAGTTTCAAGTTTGCCTGAGTCACTGATCTTTAGAAATTTAATTCCTGCAGGACAATCAAGTGACACTACCCTCAGGAAACAGGAAACAAGAAATACTGGCAAATTGACATTTCTACAAGTTTTAGACACAAGCTGACCTACTAGTGTCAAAAGAAAACAAAAGCTGAACAGACGTACAAGAGCATGGGGGAGGAGTGCTGTGCTTTTCATGAAAAAGGGGGTTGCAACATTCTCTTCAATTTCTGTAACAAGACTTTCCCAGCACGGTCAGGAATGCAAGGGGTGACACAAGGCAGAATAAGAGAATTAAGTTGGTGTATTCAGCCTTCCTCTAGAAGCTGTTTTTGAAGGCTTTATAACAAAACTAATTTTTAAAAAAATAGTTATTCAGTAAATTATTTAACCACCATGCTGTGAATGGTCATCCTCCTTACCTTTGGTGGATGGAGACAAATTCAGAAACCAAACAGAACTGGAAGTCACTATATTCTGCAACACTGAAAATGAGAATTGCTCACCGTGATCACTGTACCGCCGCTGTTTCTGGCTAGAAGATATGCTTCTCTGAACTTTGTGATGAGGAGATTGTCCAGTGCTATTATTAAGATCACTACTTGGCCTAACTTTGGCAAGTGAAAGATTGCTGCTGGAGCTTGAATCACTTGCATCCAACTACAATACAAATGACAGTATTAAAACAAGGAGTTCATGCAAAACAAATTAAACATCCACTACATTCTGGGAGCAGTAACAGACAGGTAGAAGAAAGATGGCTCTGGTACATAAGAAATTTTGTGACAGTAAGGAAGTTGCTTAGAGGCCCCAACTTCTCTTAGATTCTCATGCAACTGTCTTAGGTGAAACTCAGCAGAATCTGCAGCTACACAAAGGACAATCAGATAAAAGAAAATCCATCTCTACTTTCCGTTCTCTCTCCTGAGAGTTCTCTTAAGATTTTAACAGGAAGAGAGGATATATTTAGCAGAAGCCACCACACCAACTACTCCTGCAGAGGAACCAAGAGCAGCTTACTGATGCCGAGCCCTCTCAGCATCACACGGAAAGGTAATATACAAGGCAAGAACTTTTTTAGGTCAATTGGTCCTGCTCCTTGGTTCTCTTAGAATATTTACAGCTGGCACATTCACACTTGAGCTCCTACACTAGACAAGACAGTAACTGGCAGCCTTCAGAGGAGTAACTGTTGAGCAAGCAAGGTAGGTAGTTTTGGGGAACCTAAAGACAAGAGTTTACTGGCTCAGATCAGGGTGAGAAAACACAGAGATCATTTCAACAGTTGACACTGATGATTAGAATAATATGATTTTAAGTGTAATGGACTTCTGTGCAGGACAGCAATGCCTCTAGTTACTGACTGTACTTTTGCTTCTAACTTTGCTAAGGCCACTTTCTGATTCCTTTGCTTCTTTGCATTTGTAAGAACAGTACCTACCTCTGATGATTTCCTTCCTAGCAGTAAGTATGTAGCTGTGATTTCGTCATACTTCATTTTACTAAGGGATTCCTGAATTTCTTCTTGAGAATATCCCATTCCTACCATAATATCTAAAAACAAACAGACGCTCTGTAAGCAACAGAAATGCTCTGATGTTTAGGCTGACTGAGAGAAAAAATGGAACATTTAAAGAATTAAACAAAACAATTAAGTGTGAGAACATAAGCCTGATTAAATATCGATATTAGAAGATTAGTTATTTTTTTCCAAATGGCAAATAAATACAGGGTGGCGGAGAAAAAAAAACTCCACCCACATGATGCAAACAGTATCATACTCTGAAAAATACTCAATTACCTATTCTTTTCTGGTCCGAGATGTCTAGTTCTGGTTCAACAAAAGGTTTAAGTTCATCCTCCTCATGCCCTGCATTGATCCACCTGTCCTTCATAATTTGCTATAAAAGAAAGGGTTTTGTTAGTACGATACACTTAGCAGCAAAGAAAATGAGTTGTTGAAAGAACAACCCCCTCTCCCCCTCCATCTACCAAACACTACGGCCTTTCTCTTTTTTTTTTTCCAGAACAGGCCCTAGCACCTAGTTAGTTTTGTTTTGCTCCAGTGAGGAGAATCAACTATGTACATCAAGCCAAGCTGCTTCCCAATCAGCTGTCTTCTAGCACACAGCTGAAAGCTAAAAGCCCGTAACACAGACCAGGAGCAGTGTGACAACTCTGACAAGTCTAGCAGGTCCAGGCTCGATGACGGAAGTCCGTGGAAGCCAGTATTGTTTTGGCCTTTCTCCTCCATGACAGTACAAAATGCAACCACACCATAACCCAGCAGTCAATACTTCCAGTTCACATTTGAAAATGTAGAAAATGTCCTAATGAATCATCCATTAATGCAGGAATCCACAACGTAACCATCAGGAAAAGCTATATGACATATGCAGCATAGTCTCATGTTCACTTTGAAAGTAACTGTGAAGTCACGTGTCTTGTAACCCCAGCAAAAAAAACCAACAACTTAAAAAAAAGGTCATCTGCTCTACTCAACAATATCCCACTCCTGAGCCCGCTCCAAATAAACTATTCAGGAATGGTACGAGAATAGTACATTACAGCTCAAAAATGCAGTTTGCAAAATATGTCTATCTTTCTGATGCACTTTTATTTACGCCATTACCTCTAGAGTGCCTCTTTTTGTTGGGTTTAGCACCAGGAAACGTTTGAGGAGGTTTTCACAGTCTGTGGACATGTAGAAAGGAATCCTGTATTTTCCCCTTAGCACTCTTTCTCTAAGTTCCTTGGTTAACAGAAGAAGACCAGACAGTAAGTTGTAAGCAGCAAATCAATTAAAACATTAGCTAAACATGCCCAACACGTTCTACAAAAACACACCTTTAAGTTCTGTCCATCGAAAGGAAGAGATCCACTCACAAGGGTATAAAGAATAACACCTAAACTCCAAACATCTACTTCAGGTCCATCATATTTTTTCCCTTGAAAGAGCTCTGGAGCAGCATATGGTGGGCTGCCACAAAAGGTGTCCAGTTTATTTCCAACTGTAAACTCATTGCTAAAACCGAAGTCAGCTATTTTAATGTTCATGTCTGCATCTAACAATAGATTTTCAGCCTGGAAGAGAAAGAATGGTTGGTAAGATGAACTTAAAATACTTGATTTAGAATGCTATTGTCTGGTTTTACTCATTCTTCAAAGGCAAAGAGCTGAAATATCTGTTAACATTCCCTTCCTTGCAAGGTCTTTAGGTTTGCTTTAGTCTATCACTCACATATTCCCTGTTTTAAAAATCTCTGTACAATGGCTTCAGACTACAGGAGCTGTTACGCTACCTGGAAACTCTGTTATTGCCATCTATCTGTTTTCTCCACAGAAATGCATCCTGAGCACGGGGGATGGACTAAATGACCTTTAAAGGTCCCTTCCAACCCAAACTATTCTATGATTCTATTGTAACTTACATTTTTGATCTATTAAGATAAAAACAAGATATAGTCTCACTATCCATACTTTACGTGGCATTCTTACAAAAGGTTAGTAATACATCAAACCTTCAAACTTTTTTCAAGTGTGGTACTTTTTTGTTGTTGGAGTTCTTTTTGTTTGTTTGTGGGTTGTTTTTTTTTAGTTACAAAGTTATGATATGTTGAAAAAGTTATGTGGCAACACTATTCATTTAACAGCACAGTTTAAGAAAGGGATATACCATTTCATGCCAATCTACAAAGAAGCCATACCTCAGTTTCATCACTACAATTGGTAATTCATTCTTTTCAAGACCAAATCTTATCATACCTCTATGAAACTACCTTTTTTTTTTTTTAAAGATCTCTCAGCTAACACTGACTTGCATCAGGTTTGAATCTGATGACAGGGTGAGAGGCTATCTTTCAGCAGCCATTAAATTTCCATATTTAAAGTCTTACAAATCCTCTTCCTTTTATTTGAAATAGATCTATACTGTAAACATTCCTCAAAACTTGCTATAACACATGCTAAATAAATAAATCGGAAAGTTTAATATACGCTACATTTTATCATCATAATAAAGATCACAGCCACAGGTACAGAAGCTGACACACATACATCACGCACTTTTTCCTACTCACCTTGAGATCTCTATGAACAATATGCTTTTGATGGCAATACTGCACTGCAGATACTATCTGGATAGAAAACAAGCCCAATTATGTAAGTGACATATCAAAGAAACAGGAGTTTTAATCAAAAAGCTCAACATTTATTACTAAAGATGACATGTACTTATCCACCCAGAGCTACATAACCAACTACTACAGTGACCAGTGTATTTGGGGAAAAGCTGCTAAATAACTTAAGTGTTTGTTATTTGATCTCTCTGGTTTCTACTATACTTGAAAGAGGATTTTGTTTTTCCTGTGTGGCTAATTATAGACCAGTAGAAGCAATGACTTTCAGAAAGGTTACTGAAGTATTTCCATTCCAATACTGTACACAGCTATAAAAGCTTTCCCTCTAGACTGAAGTTTTCCAGTCCCTCTCCAAAGGTGATTTTTCATACCGCAGCATGAAGAGAAAAGGGTAAGAAACAGGCTTAGCTACTGGAGAAACTACTGGGAAAGAGCTTGTTTGTCAAAACTTGTGCAGTGAGAAGCAACTCTGCATCTGACAGAGGTCTGCTCTCTCAGCACATATGGGTTATTGTATTTTGTATACTGTACAAGAGTAGCAAGCTCAACAGAAAAAACTCTGTCTCTGAAGTGTAATGCAATAATTTCTTCCATTGTAATTTCCAAATATCATTATGTTTTTCCTGCTTTATATAGCAAACTATATAAGCTGTTTACACAGTACAGTGTCCCAGGGCATTGCTTTAGAATCATAAGCATTGCTGCAGAACTCTACATGTACGGAAAAGCTGGATAAAGTCTTACTGTTACACAATCACAAATGTGATCAAATACATTTTATTGTCATGCATATGTGGTCAGAATTGAGGTAGATGTTATGACTTCTTAAAATAAGTGGAACTGCACGTAAAAATAATATACCATAATAACTACACTTAAATAAATGTATTTCTAGTCTTTGTTCAAGATTAAGAAGATTCCAACACAGAAAGATGAGGTATCATTACTGTTACAAAAAATAACTCTTGATCAGAGCACCCAGCTTAGCATAAGGATCCTCCTGTACAGGTAAGAAGCAATGGTTCTCTCACCCAGTATTTAGAGTAGGTGAAAGTAAGGTTCTTGGTAGGTCGAAGAACTGACCTACCAGTCAATTTTGCATTCGAAACTTCAGCACCAATGTTATGATCTTTGTACCCTTGTATCATTGAATCACGCATGTGCGAACTGCCACCTTAGAAACCAAGCAGTCCAAGAAAAGTTGAAATATTTCCAATCTCTACACTTCCCTTCTGTTTTCACTTGTTCCTTTATATATTGACTCCCTATTTCAGGCTCCGAGTTCAGCTTTTTACAGTTACTGAAACCGCCAAAGTTCTCCCACGCCATCACTTCTACCATCCTTTCGGTTTTCCTTCCTTTCCTCTCCACTACCATCACTTTAGTGCCAGTCACAAGCTCAGTCTGCAGCAGCTTCCAAGGCTGACAGCATGACAAACACCTCAAGCTTTATTCAGGACTGCAGAGACACAGCACTATACCATTCGCTCCTGCACTGCTTTTACTCCGACTATGTAAGTGCGGAAGGTCTAGCAGATGATCAATCAGTAGTTTCCTTCAGAGATGCTTTTGAACTACTCTGCATTGCAACACGATAGCAGAGAGACCGCAGAAGTGAGTCCAATCAAAACGGAAGGGAAATAATGCAACGTGTATGACATTAATAATCGAAGAACAGCAGTCAAAACTGAGAAAAATAGCACAAAGCATGGCTGCACTGGACTGAGTCCCTTGTCTTCCACCCTCTACCGCTGTTTCCATTGACAGCCCCCCCACCCCCAACCTATCTGAGCATGAGAAATCTGCTGACACTTGGCAGCTGGGGAGAGAGGGGAAGAAACACCAGACCTTTTTGCTAGAGGTAACAATTGGAGCATTGAAATGTATTTCTTGGGAGGGATTTAAAAAATATCTGTATAATCATAGGTTTTAAAGAACAAGTTAGAACAAGTTATCTCTAGGCAGACAAACCATTCTTCATAAGGATTAAATGACAAAAGGACAGATAAATGACTTCTTAAGGTCCCTTCCACACTGCCATGAATATCTAGTTTAACTGGAACATACGTGCAAGATTTATTTTGTGGATTTTTTTATTTTCCAAGATCTTTCCTAACATCTACCAGCATTAAAAATTCTAAATCGCTTCTGCAGGGAAACAGTGGGAAGACTGAAGAAGGCCAGAGCTAATCGGTTGCAGTAAAGGAAGAGAGGGAAGTAATACACATGGATTTCGGGAGACCCCCTGCCCTGAGTTTTGGCTTCCCATTTTTGCATTAATTCTTATCCAGATAAGTACATTTTTCTATGGAAAAAGGATTGCAAGATTGAACCAGAACTGCTTGGAAGCCTGTAACAGGGAAAGAAAAACAGTGATGTTAAGAATGCAAAACGTTCTGGATTTCAATTTCTCACACATGGCTGCACAAAAGGAGCTTGAAATAGAGGAAAGCAGAGCATGGCTGTATTTTTAGTGTTTGCACCCTCTCCTGTGTTCCTTGTCAAGGGTGATTGGAGTAATGTGATCACTGTCTTTTACATTCTTTTTTCCTGCTAACAACCTTAGGTATGCATAACAAAATGGACAAAAAAAAATTCTTTTAACAAGCAAAGAGGGGAGAATTACCAAATTCTGCTCTTTGCCTGCTAGAGAGGAAGTGTTCAATGCAGAAATCACATCTACTGAAAGAAGAATACAAGATATAACACAACTTATTGTAAGAACTAAGCTGAATACCACAGCACAACTGTTTCTTCAGTTTAAAGAGTCATTTGTTAAACCAGTTAGTATATTAAAAAAAAATAAATCCCTATTTTGTCGTAAGTCCCTATCTAACATAAGAACAGCTGCACTGAATCAGACAAAAGGTCTACAGAGAGCATTCTCCCTCCAACAATGGCTAAAAGCTATCTGAAGTTATTTTGGGACTACAGTAAGGTGAAATGAATAGTTTTATGACCTGTAAACCCAGCAAGATCTAGTTTCCTTTGACACTGTCCCACAGTCAGAGTGCTAGTGTCCAAAAAACGCCAAGCTCTGATCAAAGTTTCCTGACTCCTGTCCTGCGCACATGCTCTTCTCTCTAGCAAAGTGCAATACATTCATGCTATAGTTTCTCTCCTCAGGTTATAAACTAAGGTTCTCTCTTTTTTTCCCCAGGCGCTCATGCTTTTGAAGCTCTCAAGAGCCTTCTATCTTTGAGATCAAGGTCCTCTAAAATTGTTGAGCTCGGTAGCCGGGAAGTCAGCTGTTGAGAGAGGACAGAGCACAGCTGCCTGTGCCAGGAGACACGACTTAGAAGAAGAAACTGAAAACATACTTCTGTGTATTTCAGTGGATTCAAGTAAGGCCATCTATATGTCTGTCTCTACAAACAGCATTTAGTCTACCGAAGTACAAAAAAAAAAAAAAAAGAAAAATCAAGCTGAGAATCTGAAGTACATAAAATCAACTCTTGATGGGTCGAATACCCCGCTCAGCAGGCAACTATCTTTTAAATTCCTTCCCTTCACATTTGTTTTTGAAAAATGAAGTCACACATATCCTGTACTACTCACATTATCCCATAGAATTAAGCACTAAGTGTACCTGTAAAACATGTTCGACCTGTTCCCACAAGTTTTCACTTAAAGGGGAGTTGAATTGTGTTAAAAAAAAAAAAAAAAAGATAATTGTTGAACAAATGTGCAATTTCAATGGAATTACTGCAAGAGCTTTTTCCACACAACTCCTGATAAAAGAAACTGGGGACAAAAAGCAAAGAACCATACCAGTAGAAGTTTTCAACATTCACATCTGAGAGAGAACAGCAAATCCTCTCAAGTTACTCTGAAGCTCTTCAAGTGACATTACAAAGAGCAAGGCAACAGTCTGGGATTTAGAAGAGACTGCTTAAATCGGAAGGCTTGCTCCACAACTCATCACATCCCCTCCAACACAGCACAGAAACACATACCAGAAACCCTCAATCACAAAGGAAGGATCTCTACCTGCTGGAATGTGAAAGGGAGGGAAGCAGCTTTAAAAAGACATGTAAGATTCTGTTGAAGAGGAAGAAAAATTTTCCTTACTATCAAGCTGTATAACTCCAGTAATCACAAATCTCTTCTGTGGATACGAAGTCTGCAGATGCTTTTTTGTGTTGTTTAGTTTGTTTTGTTGGGTTTTTTTGCAAAAGATTAAAGAGGGTAAATACAAGATTTAAAAAGATGAGAGGAAACAAAGCAACAAGGATTTCACAGAAATGCTTTTGTTGCCTCCTTATGTTGGGTTAAATAAGTTTCTATTTTTCTTTACTTTTGTTGCTACTTTTGAGCTCATTGTTTATATTGCTTTCACAGTTCTTACTATTGGAGACAGAGGGAACAGAACAGTTGTGGCACAGTTTCCTAGTTCCCAAATCATTGCTTTCGGTCACACTACCCACACTAGAGAAGTGTAAAGGTTTTCTTTACAAGGCACTTGGTGAAAGTCATTAGTTAATTTCCTGTAAGTCTCATATATTGTATCAAATTTCTTCTACTTCTCCATGGCTATGCTGAAGAACCCTTCCAACAGTGAAAGTGTCACGTCATTGCCACAATTCACCAGTTCATAACCCCAACATACCGTTCAATAACACACTCTTGTCCCTATTCATTATTTTAAAGTGTCATTAAGCAGTAGCAGAGTTTTGATATGTATTACTTTTCACAATATTTTCTAGGTTATCCAAGTGAACAAAGGTATGGAAATAAGGTATGCATTTACAAATTTCTGCACAAGAGCAGAAAACAAAGTACAGCAGACCCGTCAGATCTGCAAACGAAACTCTAGATGCTACAAGAGCAGAGATTTGGATTTTAATTAGTTATGCAAAAGTATCTGTTTATGTTCAATACTGCTTTACTGTAGAATGGAAATGCTTTTTACAGATCAATGAAACGCCAACATCTTTGCAGGGCTAGTTTCTACATCATAAATAAAGCCAAACTAACAAGCCTAGAAATTACTTTTCTGCGACTATTAAACTGCATCTTTTCATGTAAGTGGATGGATGTGAACGGACACCTGCCACACGCACTGCCTGCGTTTTAAAACTGGCCTGTTTGTAGTCTGCTACGTTTGAATAACTTCCAAAAGGTTAGGGACCAGCGGTACTAAGGATATATGAAATGAACCCAGAGGAAATGAATTTTGGAACGGAATACACTTGCAAATCAAGTAGTCACTATGTTCTGGCACTCCTGGACACCCTGGTACACAGCATTAAGGAAATTAGCACCACTGAATGGACTACTAACCCCTTCAAAGTACTACTGTAACCCAAGCTTTTTCTGACTTGGGGCTACAAGTCCACAACATGCTTAACACTGCTAGAAGTCAAATGCGAAAGACAGCCGTTTTACTCATTTCAGCATTAAAAACAAGGGGCGGGGCAGGAGCTGATGTATAGGAATGTTATACGTACCTGTCTAAATTTAGCTCTTGCCTCCTTTTCCTTCATTCTTCCATGTGCAACCAGATAGTCAAACACTTCCCCTACAATCAATGATGAGATACATTAATGCCATTTCAGAATCTAGATTCTTCTCTAGCAGTTGCCCACAGCAACTTCACGGGAATTACTGTACTTCAAGTTTATGATTACAGGTTAGCTCAAGAGAACAGGGCACAACTGCTATGCAATTTACTACATGGTCATCTTTATACAAGAAAATAGACTTAATGAATGACTGGATATAGACAAAAAAACCATTTCCTTCCAATTATTTATGACAGAAACTGAGCAGCATACTCTTGCTTTGGAAATAAAGATGACATGCACCCATGTACTTCAGGCTTCGTGGCAAGGGTTTCTTTTGCCCCACAAGAAAAGCTTCATATATAAAAGAATACCTGATAACATTTGCAAATATTGTCATACCAGTGCTAGAATTTTTCTTTGTGCATGTGTATGGAAGTGTTCTAACCAAAATCAGAAACCTCAGCTTTAACCTAGGCTTGGAAGAGGTACCTGCACGGAAGGTCACAATAATGAGCACAGCAGAACACACTGACATAATCCATTACACAACCATCAGATACGTAAGATACACTGAGAAGGATCACTCTGAACAAGCCCAATGTTGTATGGCGGTGGGTAACTAAAGGAGACTACTAAAGCAGTACTAATTGTATTTTGGGTTGTTTTTTTTTATTCCCCGTTTAATCAATCCAGTCATTTTATAGCACATCAATACAGACTATAATGTTTGAGCTTTCGATGCAGTCAACTGGCCCATGAAACATTGACATGTTTGTCACAGCATGGGAGATTTCCTCTACTAAAAACCAACAGCCATGTACATAAGAACTCCTACAAACAGACTAGAACACAGTTTTAAAAATTCCTAGCTAATATGCAAAATTAATAAAAACTTTAGAAGTGGATCAAGCACCTAAATATTCTCTACTAAGCAAGAAAACGCTGCTTTGTAGATAGCCACCTCACAAGGGAAGAGCTGAGTAACTTCACGTTTATTTTTGAAAAGGAGCAACTCCACCAAATTTGAATAAAAAACCCGGAGTCATACAGCAGGAAAAGCAACAACTGAGCAATCTGAAGGAATGTCAGGGTTTTCTACAAAACAGCCTTACTTCCCTCTGTATTGTGTTATGTAATACTCAACTCGGCTAACTCTCCCAGCTGTATTTCAGAGCTGTTTCTTCAAAAACCTTGAAGGAACAAACCTGAACACTTTTTCACAATTCAGGGAAAACGACACCAGAGAAATTATCATCCCCAATTTCTGCAAAGTGTTGCAGCTGTAGCGATAGTTTCTTTCATCCTGCAGCCACAGACTTCATATGTGTCATGCAGGAACAGTATCTTGATAAAAGAGGGGAAACTGATGCCTGCCACTGAGACTATCAGCCATTCCTGTCTCGTACAACAGGGCACGTGCAAAGGTTACTGCTCACAGCCTTTTAGACCGGTACGGTACATATCTCTCCATTACCCTAAGAAAGATCATCACTGCTTTAGAGAACCGCTGGCCCTTCTACCTCCTAGAAGCTAATCACTAGGTGGCAATAGGACTTCACTTTTAAGTCTAGTACCATCAAACAGCACAGAGTTGCCTCCACAAACACCTGCACTAGCCAATGTTTTAGCAATATTTTACCAATTTTGTTTCTGTTTAAACAAATCTTGGCTGAGCACTTAGGGAGCTGCTAGAAGAAAACATAGGCAGGTAGGGAATCATTACCTGATTTAGAGTAATTCGTTAAACTTCACCTCATCTAACGTCAGTCAGAATTCAGTGCTGATTTTCTCTGAGAAGTCTTTGTATCTCTCTCCCAAAAAAGAAGAGCCTCAACTCTTTGAGATTCCCAGCTGCTGATGCTAAAGGGTCACACTGACAAACTGAGTGCTCTTAGGTTTTAGCCAGCAAGGAGTAACTTAAGCTCCAACACCTTAACTCTAGCTCTGGTGAAAATATTTGACATTGCATGATGCATGCTTTTTCCCCTTCCTCTGCAATCAGAAATAAATGTTTAAGTTCCTCCTAAGATGGCATAAGGCTAAGTTTAACAACTCTTGACAGTAGAAGGTCTGCAATAAAGGTACATCAAATGCCATCAACATCTAATAAGCAGAAATTGCAGTACTTGTGCTTTTGAAAGCAACAGTTAAAGAAAATGTTTCATCTGAACATGTTTTTACCAAATTATACAAAATAGGACACCAGAGGTAGGGAGCCAAACACGATAAATTGAAAAGGCTGGCATTTGTTACAGACAGGGACAATCGATGGCCAAATAAAGATTCCCATTAAATTTGAGTTGTGAATACAAAGCAAATGTTATGTTGCAGTAAGTTCAGAGGCTGGTTTTAAAAGTTTTAAGTAATTATGTCACCCAAAGAAGTCCCAGATAATATTAAAAGATTTTACACTACCATGACATTAACATCTCCTGAAAAAGAAAGCAAAACTTGAAAGAAAACAAACACTTTCTCCCACGTGGCAATTTGGTTACATATGTCATCACAGCAGAGAGGTACTTACCCCCACTTGCATATTCCATTATTAAATAGAGAGTTTTTTCAGTTTCAATTACTTCAAATAGCTTCACTAGAAAAGAAAGCCATTTATTAATCAGTTAACTAGTTGCAGAAGTATTATGTTAACCCTACAGATAATTCTGTCAGAAAAAAACCCCCACCAAGCCCTATTTGCTTGCTGCTTCCCAGTATCAGACTACTACTCTAAAGAAGCTTTTTCTATCTAATGTTCTGTCTAATGGAAAATACTGGAATGCATCTGGTCAACTCATACAGAACATTTTCTCAAGAAACAATACGTTGCTTCTGTTACATGCAAAAAAAATTATCAGTTAGCTGTGCAAATAACAATTTGTGCAAAGAGGCCAAAATGTTGTGTTTTGTTTTCTTTTCAACACACAGGTCTGAAAAAGTATTTATTACTGCTATTTTACAGTGAACTGACGCCCTAGTGCAGAATCATCTTTTAAACTCACACCACAACAATTTTAACAGTGAAAAAGCTAATATTTCTCCAGAGTTGGAAATTATATGAAAAAAACAAGGTACCTATATTTGGATGATTTAAGATCTTCATTATTCTTACTTCTCTAAAGAGCTGAAATAAACATAAAACATGAAATAAGTTAGTGAAACAGGTAACACCCACTCTTCCTAAAGCCTGATCATTTTGACATACTTATTTAAACACAAGGGCAAACATTACTATCAGCATTTCAATGAAGTTCATGAAATAAGCACTTATTGGAGGGAAGAGTTAAGTGTCTGCTTCTTTTAACACCCCTCCCCAAACAAATCACCCCTCAAAAACCTGAAAAAACCCAAAGAGCACTCCAGATAGCTGGAGAGAGAAGTGATCTTAGCTCTGTGGTTTGCAGACTTTTGGGGCTAGATGACCATTATGAGCCCACGCGGCTTCTTGCTGGCCAGGACATCTCACACAGTTGTTCACCCTTACACAGAAAATACTGCTTCCAAAGTTTTGTGAACGCCCACCAGAGCACCTTTTGAAGACCACTGCACTATGTTACTGGCATGAACTCATCACTCTTCGGTACTTCTTTAGAGCCAGGGAATTACTTTGCTAGAACAGGAACTCACAGGTGAAGAAAGTCAGCTGCTTATATCACACAAGAAATGTGTTGCCCAACTAAACCAGCAAGGAGCAAATTTTAAGGAGAGATGGGGAGG